GCTCGGCAGGTGTCTGTGCCCTACTGTAGCCACACGGAATCCAGAAAGTTTCTGTGTACAGCTCAGGTGAAGAAAGAAATAAGTGCATTATGGTGGATAAGCTTCTGGACAAGAATTAGGTACGTGGTTTTTATATTTGAGAGAAAGCTTCTAGTTGAGGGTCTCCATCTGTTGTAATCCCTTAGTAATTGTCGGGTGACGGGGGATGGCTTACACGGAAGAGATTCACTTCATACTCGTAGGATATTCATTCAGCCACTTCGAGTTCCGAGTAGACTGCTGTGTTCCCCTACCTATCCAGCCTTGGGTCACGGCGGTGCCTACGGGCCGTGGTCAAACCTGTGTGTCTTGCCCTTTGGCACAGGATTTCCCTTTTAAAGATGGCTTAGGCCCTGGCATTACTTATGCTGGGTCACAGGAACCTGGTACATAAGAGAACCCAGGAAGTATTTGCTTAACTGAATCATAAGAAGAGGCCTACTTCTGTTTCATGGAGGCTGATCGATCTTGTAATAATTTTCACTCAGCATATTATTGATGGTCTTATTTGTCTGAGGATGGATCCAGTTTCTAAGAAAATCCGCTTCATTGAGAGGTGACATACCATGAACTTTACCCATTTTAGGTACAAGATTCAGTGGTTTTGAGCGTATTTGTAGACTCCTGTAGCCATCCCAACAATCTGATTTTAGAATATTTCCGTCACCCTAAAAAGCAATCTTCCTGTTGGCCATCACTCACCATCCTCCCCCACCTCCAGCGCTTCTGTCTCTGTAGGCTTCCCTGTCTTGGCTAGCTTATGTAATGTGGCTGTCGCATCTGCCTGTCTTCACCCAGCATCGCGGGTTCAAGGCTCGTCCCTGTTGCAGCACGTAGCAATACTTTCTTCCAGTTGCCAGATGATGGTCCCCTGGGTGGATATACAACATTTGATTCTTTCAGCAGTCGATGGACATTTGGGTTGTTTCCACTTTGGGGCTTGTGATAACGCTGCTGGGAACATCCGGGTACAAGTTTTTGTGTGGACATATATTATCATTTCTTTGGGGTAGGTACCCAGGAGTGGGATGGCTGAGTCACGTGGTGACTGTGTTTACCATTTCAGGAAACAGCTAGACTTTTCCAGACTGGCTGCAGCATTTTACATTCCTGCTAGCAGTTGTAACAAAGCATGTGGGAGTTGCGATTTCTCCACATCCTCACCAACATTTGTTATGTCTTTCTGAGTGTAGCCATTCTAGTAGGTGTGAGGTAGCATTTCACTGTAGTGTATCTTCAGCCTTGTCATGTAGTAAGACTGACTTACTCTAGATAGGAGTCCACAACCAGATATGTGATGGGCATATGTTTTCTCCCAGTCTGGGTTGTTGTCTTTTTCACTTTCTTAATGGTATAATTTAAGGAACAAAAGTTTTAAATTTTGGTGAAGTCCAATTTATCAATTTTTTTTAATCACATGCACTGTTGTTGACATGTCATATCTTAAAAAAATCATTGCCTAACACAAGGTTACAAGCAAGGGGAGAGGCAGAGGGAGAACGAGAAGCAGACTCCCTGCTGAGCAGGGAGCCCGACACGGGGCTCGATCCCAGGACCCTGGAATCATGACCTGAGCCGAAGGCAGATGCTTAACTGACTGAGCCACCTAGGCGTCCCCTAAGAATGTTTTCTGATCATAATTGGGATTTTTATATTAGGCTTTACTTTTGAGCATGCAGGTCTGGCTTTAAGATCTACCTGTATAGGGCGCCTGTGTGGCTCAGTCGGTTAAGCGTCTGCCTTCGGCTCAGGTCATGAACCTGGAGTCCCGGGATCGAGTCCCACATCGGGCTCCCTGCTCAGCGGGGAGTCTGCTTCTCCCTCTGACCCTCTTCCCTCTCATGCTCTCTATCTCTCATTCTCTCTCAAATAAATAAATAAAAATCTTTTAAAAAAAAGATCTACTTGTATATTTAAGTTAAAACACATTTCTACCATGTGATATTGGCATAAACATAGATGCACAGAACATTGAAAGGTGGTAAGACCTAAAAATATCCCCCCACATATTTGGATAATTGGGTTCTTATAAAACACAAAGGCCATGCAAGGGTGCCTGGGTGTCACAGTTGGTTAAGTGTCCGACTCTTGGTTTCAGTTCACGTCATGATCTTGGGGTCGTGAGATTGAGTCCCATGTCCAGCTCTGTGCTCAGCCTTGGGTCCGTTTGTCCCTCTCCCTCTGCTCCTCCCCCCCTCTTGAAAGCGCACGTGCTTGCTCTCTCTCTCAAATAAATAAATAAAAATCTTAAAAAAACACACAAAGGCCATGCAGTGGATAAAGAATAGCCTTTTCAACAAAGTGCTGGAACAATCAGATATCCATATGCAAGGGACGCCTGGGGGGCTCAATGGGTGAAGTGTCTGCCTTCGGCTCAGGTCTTGATCCTGGAGTCCTGGGATCAAGCCCAGCATCAGGCTCCCTGCTCAGCGGGGAGCTGCTTTTCTCTCTCCCTCTGCCCCTCCCCCCGCTCGTGCGCATGCTCTCTCTCTCTCATAAATAAAATCTTTAAAAAAGAAAAGATATACATATGCAAGAAAAATCACCTTTAATCCACACACCTCTTACCACATGCAAAAATTAACTCAAAATGGATCAAAGACCAGTGAGCAGTCACAGCTGTAAAACTGGAAGAAAACAGAGGAGAAATGTTTCCTACCATGGATTAAGTGAAGATTTCTTAGATGTGACCCCAAAAGCACAATATTTTAGAGCAAAAGGATAAATTGAACTGCTCTTCATAAGATGCCACTGAGCGAGCACAAGGACAAACCACACAGACTGGGAGAAAATACTTAAAAAGTGTATATGTGATGAAGGATTTATATCCAGAATATAGAATGGATTCTCAAAACTCAGCAACAAAAGAACATTAAAAATTGGCTAAAGACTGCACACACCCTTCCCTGTTGTAGGTATACAGGCGGCAGAGACACATGAAAATGTGCTCGACCTCGTTAGTCATCAGGAAAATGCAAGTGAAAGCCACAATGAGATACCACTACAAACCTTAGAATAACTAAAATCAGAACAACTCTACCAAGTATTGGCAAGGACAGGGGAATGTAAAGTGGTACAGCTAGTTTGGAAAACAGTTTGTTGGTGTTTTTAAGGTTCAGCCTACCCTTGCGGTGGGATGTGGCCGTACTGCTCTGCGTTCCACACTTAGGGACTCACCAGAGAGCAAGGAAAACACATACCAAGACTGATACGTGAGTGCTCCAAAACTGGAAACCAAATGTTTATCAACAGAGGAATGGAAAAATAAATCAAGGCATATCCACACAGAGGGCTACTACCCAGCCATAAAGAAACAAGTACTGGGGCGCCTGGGTGGCTCAGTTGTTAAGCCTTTGGCTCAGGTCGTGATCCCGGGGTCCTGGGATCGAGCCCTGCATCGGGCTCCCTGCTCAGCAGGAAGCCTCCTTCTCCCTCTCCTGCCCCCCCTGCTTGTGTTCCCTCTCTCGCTGTGTCTCTCTCTGTCAAATAAATAAAACCTTTAAAAAAAATTAAAAGAATCAAGTACTAATGCACACAAGAACTTTGGGGAACCTGAAAACAATTCTGTTGAGTCAGAGAAAGCAGAGTACATAGTGCATGCTTGCATGTCTGTAAAACGTGAACTAATCTGTAGCAACGGCGGCCTGGGGATTAAGGGCATCAGGGAGGAGCAGCAGGGAAAGGCCACAGTGGGGTCCTCAGTAATTTTTTAAATTGTAAAGGTTTCCTGAGGCCTGTGTGGGGTCCTTCGCCCTGTAGGGTAAGACAGCGCTCGGGCTGTGGGATAGTGCTCCGTCATGATTCTGCAGCTGTTCGGCAGTCAACTTGCCTTATCGCCAAGTAGTATATCCTAGCATCTCAAGAGAAAGTCCAATAATGTGTTGAACATTGAAAGATCATTGAATTACATATTTAGCTTCCCCAAGGTAACTGAAGAATAAAACTAACAGAATCAGAATTTCAGCTAGAAAGAACTCTACCTCTTTATGGAAGAATAAATTAATGGTTAAGTCTGAGTGTGTTCATTAGAAAACACGAGACCCATTACTTATAGGTGTGTCTGCATTTGAACAACGGTTTTATCACTGTGAGCTATGGGAAGCTTCTCCAGAATGGTTGAGGGCTCTTTGTGGAGGAAGCAGGAATGTTCCTAAAGAACCTCAGTGTCAGGCAGCATTTGGGGCCTGCTCTTTGCTCCTGGTACCGAGAGTCTGGTGAGCACTAATGAGGGCAAGAGTTTCTTCTGGGGGACTCAGAGAAGGCTTCCTGGAGGAGGCGTTGTTTGCGAATCCCACTATGTGTAAATGAAGAAAGTATTAGGGAGAAACGAACTACTGAGAGCAAAGAGAAGAAGGCTTGAGGCTTCTAGGTAGTTTAGGGAATGGCAAGAGGTGTGGTCAGTGGAGTGTGGGAGTCGTGGAGAATGTGAGGAGAGAGGGAGCTAGGATGGCAGCAATCAGGTCCTTGAGGGCCTTGGTACTGTGGTGAGAGATGTGGGTGTGGTTCTGCTGCAGGGGACACCAGCTGAGGGTCAGCAGGTGTTTAGGGAGATCTGGCGGCATCGCTCAGGGTCCCAAAGAGGGGAAGTTTAGAGACAGGAGCGGTTAGGAGGATGCAGCATTCGGCCCTGACTGAGGACAGGGTAACGGGCGGCCCCCCGCCAGAACTGGGCAAAGGTATAGCGGTCAGAGGGAGGAGAGAAACCCGCCGGAATTCCCAGCTTGTGTGGCAGTCCCCATCTGGGCCGGAGAACCCTGGCAGCACGCGGGTCTGGGCGTAACGTGGGCTGGGCTTCTCTGGAGGTTATACTCTCATGAGGAGGTACTTTTAATTTTAATAAAGTCTAATTTATCGATTTTTTTCTTTAAAAAAAAAGTCCTCTTTCCACATCTCATGTTAGTTGTATTTTTTAAAAGATTCTATTTTATTTATTGAAGACTTGACCCTCCCTTCTTCTCTAGATATCATTGACCCTGCGATCCTGCGCCCTGGACGTCTAGACAAAACACTGTTTGTGGGTTTGCCACCTCCAGCCGACCGTCTGGCCATCCTAAAAACCATTACAAAAGTGAGTAAAGGAAATGGCGTGTTGTTGTGTGTTTCTCTCCTTTTAGATTCAGACAGGTATCTGTAGCTTTAAATATTTGCTCAGCCTATGTCTCCCAAAGAAAAGGTGAACGATTCTGGTAATTGAAGAGACTGTCCGTTCTTTTTTATTTGCTTAAAATAAAAGGGATATTTAGAGTTAAATGCTCAACTGATATATTTGAGATTTTCCTCTCATTGCACTTCTTTGTTCTTTTAGATTTTTGATTGTTACTTTAGAGAAATTGCCCTTAGAGGAATTTGAAATGGAATAGAAACTTTTGGAGCGGAGAAGTGAATAAATACAGGCCCATTGTAAATATCCAGGGAAACTGAGTCTCAATCACAGTGTTGAGTCTGCCTTCCATGTTTCTAGATGCCAACTTTTTTTAAAAAAAGATTTTATTTATTTATTTGAGAGAGAGAATGCATGAGTGGGGGGACGGCCAGAGGGAGAGAATCTGAGCCCGACTGTGCACGGAGCACAGAGCCTGACGCAGGGCTTAGTCCCACAACCCTGAGATCACAACCTGAGCTGAAACCAAGAATCGGACAAGATGGTTCCTGCCTTTATTTGGTTTCCACTAGTATCTGTATCAGCAGAGGAAGATTCTGGGCCGTCATTACCTAAAACTGCATAGAGCCATGTCTGCCACTACCTCCCGAAGGAGGGGGCACGAGGGTGACCAGCTTTGTGGGTGCAGGCCCCAGTGAGAGCAGTCTGGAAGACTGCCTGGAGGAAGTGAAGCTAGAGGCTGTGAAGTGAGGTGCGCTGGACACTAGCCCGTTTCAAGGGGTTACATGTGAGAACTGGGTCTGGTGTGAATGAACAGGACGCTGGATGGACCGTAGAGTTGAGGGGCAAAGACAGGAGGAGAAACTCTCTGCTTGGGCCACTGAGTGGATGGGGGTCTGGGAACGAGGAGCTGATGCTGCCCGAGGTCGGTCTCCAGGCGCGAGTTGGCTCGGAGCCTCGGAGCTTGGGAGAGCCCTCTGGCCACCACCAGCGTGGCTGCCAGTCAGAGACATGAAGACACGTGGCTTCAGTGCGGTGCTCTCGACCTAGGGTGGCCTGACCGCCAGCAGCCCACCCCCGGGCAGCCACTGGGGACGCTTGTTGGGGGCTCAGGCCGGGGGCGAGCTATGGTGCACGGAACAGCCCCGCAGCACCAGGTACCTGACCCATGACATCTGCAGTGCCACAGCCAGGTAACGCAGCTGTCGTCGTGGTCCTGCGTCTCTGTAGCCAGCGAGTTCGGTGACGGGTGCTGGCCGCCGCGTTTCTGTCCCCGCCCTGGGCTCTGTCCGGGAGCTGTGTTACTGAGGTGTTGTTTGCTTTGGTTAAAGCATGTGTGTACAAACAGACATACAAGCACATGCACGTGCTCCTAATTTGTTTCCATGTGTTCCTTGTAGTTCTGATGGCCTGATAATCCTTCCTTCCATTCTTGCCCCCGGGGTAGCACTAATTAAGAGGCAAAGACTGGAGGAGGCGTGCCAGACCGGAGCTGTGTGGTGCTCAGGGCCGCGCACATTCGGACCCAGGGTGGTGACCGATCACTGCTGCCCTCGTATTCTCCTCTGTGGGTGCTCGGCACCGCGGGACAGCCTGACGCTTCCTTCAGCTAGAATCCCGGTGCCGTTTGCCACAGTTATTAGCCCTCAGACTCGGATAAAAGCACCCCACCTCAAAGGCAAAGGTATTAAGAAAATAAGAGAATAGACTATTGTGCACGTGAAGGATCCCTCGGTCAACAAGCCTGTGCACTCGGTGAGGATGGGAAACCCTCGGACACAGGCCTTCCCTCTGAGGGGCTCGTCTTCTAGATGACAGGGTAATACGCACGTTTCTAAAGGTGAGGCCCCTGACGGTGTCAGGCCGGGCCCGAGGTCAGGGGCCCTGCTTCTGTCTGCTGCCTTGTATTTCCAGATGTCCTGTCGTGAGCATATAGTATTTGGGGGGGGGGGGGGTTTTTTTTTTTTTTTTTTTTTAAGAATAGTTACCTGGCATAAATGTGGAGGTTTAGGAGGAAGTGTGTAGAATTAGAGACAACGGTCTTTTGGGCAACTTCCACGCACAAAGTTGTGAATACGGAGAGAAAAAAAACAGAAAAGGATATTTTAATAGGAAAATCAGTGTGACTTTAAAAGCAGCTTTCGGCAGCACTGTGGTCTGTTCTCAGCATCTGTCAGTGATAAAGGCAAAGGAGGGCTTTCGGTGATTTCCTCTGACCTTAGTGGGTATTTTTGCTTCATTTAGGGGTGTGCTGCGTGCTCCCGCAGGAGGCTCAGAGCCTCACAGCCAGACCTGCAGGAGGACGGTTCTCAGCGCCTGGGCACCTGCCCACCTGCAGAGGGCTGCTCCCCCTGCAACACCCACCCTGCCCCCCCCCGCCTCCCCCCCCCCCCCTCCTCCCTTCTTCCTCCCCATTCCTTCCTCCTCCCTCCCCCTCCCTCCTCTCCCTCCGTCTTCCCCCTCCCCGTCCTCCTCCCTCCCTCCCCCCAGGGCCTGGGATGTGCCGCTCACAGTCTGTGTTGACAGCTGGAGCCAGAGCCGGCAGTGGGACAGAATGCAGAACCCTCCCTACTCGACTGCAGGGACCGCCTGCCTGCATACACTCTTTGCAAATCGGCCTGACCTGAGAAAAAGTGTCATTTTCAATGTTTACCCTTTCGGTTCCAAAGTTTGCCAGATTTTTGCTTAAATTCCCAGATTGTTGTATATACCATTTCCTCTTATTAATACGTGAACTAATAGGGGGAGATGACAGTAAAATTCTCTCATTTTGGTCCTAGAAGTCTGAAAAGACTTGTAGGTCAGAGCAACTTCTCAGTATCTTTTGGAGTCTGTTTCTTAAGAGAAAATTAGCAAAACAAATTACTTATTTTGGTATTTCTGGTAATGATGTGGTAACAAGATGCTTATCACCAAAAGCCCCTTGGACAAAGGAATTTTTTTTTAACTTCTATTTTTTCCTTAATAAATGTAATTAAAATGTCTGCCAAGTGTTTTGAGATAATACATAGTCTTTAAAATAACGGTAAAATCACAAAATGACCCACAATCTGGTATTCTTTGGTACCCATACATTTCAATCCTGCTTCCTCTTTGCCCTCCAAAATGTATTCCAAAGGCTATTCTAGGGGTGCCTGGGTGGCTCAGTTGGTGAAGCATCCGACTCTTGATCTCAGCGCAGGTCTTGATCTCAGTGGTGAATTCAAGCCCTGAGTTGGCATGGAGCACAACTTAAAAGGTTATAATAACCAAGCCTAGATTTGAGAGTGGAGGCTTGGTTACATCTCATCATGGTGCAATTAATCCATTTTATTTAAATTATTAATGCAATTAATCCATTTCACTTTTTCTCAGGGTGAATCAAGAGTAGAAAGATTTAGATGTCGCTGTCATTATTGCCTTTATCATAAAGATCTTTCTGAGGAAACCAGCATGGAGAATAATTATGATGTAGAGCCAATGTAAACATAAACTTTATTTTTGTATGGTTTCTTAATTAGTGATTTTAGGATCATTTTGCATCAGCTTAGGAAAGCTGCTCTGTGTTAGGGCAAACTATAATATTTTGGTAATCTATGATATTATAAAGTCTTTTTTGTATCTTTTCTACCTTCACACCAGTAATTTGTGAGGAATCCTGTAGTTTGCTTTTGAATGACTTCAGTATACGTCCACCTTTTGATTTGACCTAAGGAAGCCCTAATAGGTTTTGGGTGTTGCCTGTGTGTTTGAGAGGCCTGAAGTCATTAAGACAAGACCTAACCTCAAAAATTGGAAGCCAAGTAACTTGTGCAGAAGGAATACACAGAAAACTTTGGGTGGTTTGGTTAGAGCATGATTAGGGCAGATGTGTACGCTAGATTTTGTGGTTTTCAAAAATTGTAATAAAATTTTTTTGTGCTATTTCAATTTTCAGTAGCAAATGTGTGTGTAGAGGATCTTATTACAGTTGACTTATTTGAATACCTCTTAATAAAATAACGGTAAAAATCCCAATAAAAGACCCAAAATTCCCCATTTTTAAAAAAGATTTTTTATTTATTTATTTGACAGAGGGAGACACAATGAGAGAGGGAACACAAGCAGGGGGAGTGGGAGAGGGAGAAGCAGGCTCCCTGACGCAGGGCTCCATCCCAGGACCCCCGGGACCATGACCTGAGTCGAAGGCAGACGCTTAACCAACTGAGCCACCCAGGAGCCCCTCCCCATTTATTTTTTATGGTGTGTCCCAGAAGACTAAAATATATATTAATGTCTCACCTAGAAACGTTATCTGTTAAATTTTCATGAGCTAAGAATGTCAGATACAGTAACAGGTAATGTTTACGAATCTCGTAACAGTGTTCCGGGCATATGGAAATGTTCTGCTATTGTTTCCATTTTAGTGAAGAGCAGGAGCAGGATACAGAGGGGTACGTTTCCATGGATATGTTCAGAGACTGACAAAAAATTCCAAACTGACAATTACCATGTTATCATGATAAGATTATGTTAATTTTCTTTCCATTATTTTTTTATGAGCAACTATGTAAAGAGATATTCTGATTCCAGAGTCTGTTATATGACAAAGGATAGGTTTCTGTGATTAAATATAGATGTAATCATTGAAATAAAATTTATAGGGGCTCCTGGGTGGCTCAGTCAGCTGAACATCCCATTCTTGTCCTGAGATCAAGCCCCGCATCAGGTTTTCTGCTCAGCAGGGAGTCTGCTTGGGATTCTCTCCCTCTTCCTTTCCCTCTGCCTGCCCCCAGCGCCCCCCCAAGTAAATAAATAAATCTCTCTATCTATTTATTTATTTGATACAGAGAGAAAGAGAGAGCATGCACAAGCAGGGGGAATGGCAGGCAGAGGGAGGAGCAGGCTTCCCTCTGAGCAGAGAGCCTGATGTGGGGCTTGATCCCAGGACCCTGGGATCATGACCTGAGCTGAAGGCAGACGCTTAATGACTGAGCCACACAGGCACC